GCAGGCACCTCCCCTTCCCCATGTTTTCCAGCGTTTCTCCTCCGTCCCCCCCCCCCCCCTCCCGCCTTCCCCCCCCCCCCCCCCCTTCCCCCCCCCCACCGGCAAGCCGGACCCCCCCCCCTTTTGATTCCAGCCACCAAGATAGATAGATGGAGAGAAGGGGAGAGAGAGAGAGAAAACCAGGTTTAACTAAAGGAGTGTGAATGCATGCAACCTCTTTAAGGTTTTTCCAAACCAGGAGGTACCTTTGGCTGGTATTGCTGAGAACTCCCTGGATGGAAGAGAAAGGATGAAATCTTTTTATTTAATGGGGGCGAGGCGGAAGAAAGGTGCATTTATTTGTTTCTGGTTTCTGTCTGCCTTTTCATGACATGAATCAGCTTGACTGCTTTTCTTGAAGAGATCATGTCTGTAAGAGACAGTGTCTATCCGTCCATCTTTTTCTGCTACGTTTATGGAGTCTCTCTTGACGGTTTTACCCACCTTGTAAAGGGGTCTCAGGGCTCTTTGGCTGTTCTTTCATGACAAGCCCCCAACCCCTGACTTTCAGAATTAAGTTGCGGGGGGTCCTTTCCTCTTCGCCCAAAGCCAGACGTACCCCAAAATCAGCCAGACTCTCCTTGGCCTCCGGTGTGAATCCAACCTTTCGGCTATATATATCGGAGACGTTAGCCCGCAGCTTACATATGGGTGTGTTTTATGAACATAGGAGATCAACAAGTTTAATCTTTTTTTCCCTGAAGTAACAGTTTTCAGGTTTGCACAAAGATAGTAACCTAATCGAATGGGCTGAGTAGCTAGAAGAAGAAAAAGATACAAAGAGTTCAAACTAACCAAGATAGTAAGGATATCGTGTGAATGCTGACAGTTTTCAACTGGTCTAATTGAACGTGTTGGGTGAATGCAGCCTTTCTTTCTTTCTTTCTTTCTTTCTTTCTTTCTTTCTTTCTTTCTTTCTTTCTTTCTTTCTTTCTTTCTAATATGTATTCATGGCAAATTGGAAAGCAAAAGACTTTTAAGGAAGAATGACATTCACGATGAAATCGGGTGTCTTCGGCTTCCTGTTTCTGTTGACTCACATGTCCACTGGGGAAGTGGAGTGGGAAATAAAAGCAAGAAAGAGAACGAACAACTTTTGTAGTTGCGATCAATTAAGGAAAGGGAAATTAAGGGGGCGGTGATGCCAGCATATTTCATTCACTGAATTTTCTTCTGTCGGAAGATTGGAAAGGAAAGGGGACTGCAAGGGGTTGGACTAGAAGACCTCCAAGGTCCCTTCCAACTCTGGGATTCTGTTGTAGTGTCATGCACATTTAAAGCTTTACAGTGGATTTGGGAAGGAAACCTCATTTTTTGCCTCAGATATGAAATAAGACCAGTCAACCGGCTGGATAGATTAATCTCATTAAGCCATGTTTACTTTGGATTGTCGGATGAACGTAGTGGCCTATTTTGCTCAATAGGCCATAATTAGTGGCTTACAAAACAAGGTCCCCAAAACCAAATATACTTTTGGTTAAAAGAGTATATGAAAATTCAGCCTGAGGGGTTGAGCATGCTTTCATTGCTCAGCTCGGTGCACAAACCGAGCTGATGTGAGGTTTGGTTTAACAACTCTGTGAAGGAAACTCTGGTTTAGCGTAACAGGTGACCAAACTAGGCAAACAGCTTCAGTGCCAATGAGTGTACAGCGGCTCTGCGCTTGGTGGTTTTTCTTTCTGATGTTTCATGACCCAGCTAGGGAACATCATCAGTGCTAGGAAGGAGGGGAGTTTATGGAATGGAGGAGGAGGAGCGTGCAGTTTTTGGTGCTGTCTGAGTGTGGTTGTCTTCTTGCAGACATTTCATGACCCACCTAGGGAACATGATCAGTCCAGCATGCATTCCCTAGTTGCTCCCTAACTCTGAACTTTCTGGTTTTCTTGCAGACATTTTCATTACCCAATTACAATCACCAGTTCACTAGTAATTTACTATAGAATACTAGTAATTAATAATCAGTAGCATCAGCGGGGCTAGAAGAAAGTAGAGTTTGTGGAGTGGAGGAGCGTGGAGCCTTTGATGCTCTCTGAACTTGATTGTTTGCATGCAGACGTTTCATTAACCATCATCCAGGCTAGTGAACTTGACACTGTGGAGCAAGGGAGAAATGGCTTCTACCTGTATTGTTTGGGGAAACCAAGCCGAACAATTTTTCCTTTGGCGTTAGGAAAAGGAGCAAAGGGTTTTGAAATGGACTTATCCGCTCTCAGTGTCGTCCAAATGTAAACTGAGACTCCGGGTGCCAGGATTTGAACTGTGGACTGAAGAGTGTGTAATGCACTTGGTGCATTTCCAACTTCGAGGCAAGGTTGCCTGAGATAAGGAAGACATTGATCTACTGAAGAAGGACGGCCATTTTAGAAACCAAACAGGTTGGAGAATTGCAGAATCGTTGCACGGGCCTCTCGGATCAGGGTTGGTTCTCGGCGTTTGCAAGAGTCGGAGGGCTCGGCTGTCGAGTAATCAGCTAATTACGCAGCTGGTGCTCTCTTTGACGGAGAACCTGTGGCGGTCGCTGAATAAGGCAAGCCGGGCGGGGGATGATGGTATGTCTGCTGGTTGCTTAGGCCCTTGAATGCGTGGAATGGATGGTCTGGGTGAGCATGCTGCTCAAAGTAACAATTGTGGAGCCCGGGGGGCGCAGTGGTTAGAGGACGGCATTGCAGGCTGACTCTGCCGACTGCCAGCAGCTCGATTCTGACTGGCTCAAGGTTAACTCAGCCTTCCATCCTTCCGAGGCCAGTAAAATGAGGAACCAGATTATTGGGAGCAAGAGGCTGACTCTGTAAACCACTTAGAGAGAGCAGTAAAGTATCATGAAGTAGTATATAAGTCTAAGTGCAATTGCTATTCCTTCCTTCCTTCCTTCCTTCCTTCCTTCCTTCCTTCCTTCCTTCCTTCCTTCCTTCCTTCCTTCCTTCCTTCCTCCTCAGGAACTAGCCCCTGAGTAGCTCAGAGCAGCCTTTGGCCCTGTCTAACCTCCTTTCACCACCCACCTTGACTTTTAGTAGATAAATCCAATGTCCTGGTTTGTTTTTTCTTGGAAATAAACCCAGGCCCTTGTTCTAATGATAGATCTCTGTAACTTGTGGCTGCCGTGTGTGTATTTGTGGTTATGGAAGGCAGCTTTTTCCCGGGTTGGTTTTGGAAGCGCTGGTGGGGTCACGTGGAGCTCAATCTTTAATTTTCTACAACTGGAAGAGAATGGGAGGGATTCGCTCTTCGGTACCACGAAATGCTTAACATTTGGTTTGGTTTGAAACTGGTCCTTCCCTGCATATCACACAAAGCCACGCGGGGCTTCATTATCAGGGTTTAGCTACTAAGTCACCCTTGGTTTAGAGAGCATAAGTCAACCAAGTTATCAAGTTAAAAACCTCCCATCACTGGAAGGTCACAAGAGGATTACATGACCCCAGGAAAACTATAACCGTCATTAAACATGAGTCGTTTGCCAACTGTTGGAATTTGGACCACGTGACCCTGAGGATGCAATGGTCATAAGTGTGAAACATGGACATTTTTCAGTGCTGCTTAACTTTGAGCAATCACTAAATGATTGAGGGCGATCTGTATCTGCCCCCTACTGCATCAGCCCAAACGTTCCACCCATATATATTCAAATATCTGGCTGCTTAATAGTTTAATCCATTAATTGCCCCATCCAGAAAAATCCATTTATTATTTCCCTACTGATTGATTGCTAGGAAACATCTATTATATCTGCAGGGTTTTCTCTGTGTTTTATTTATAAACCGGTATCTGATCAAAATGCCAAACTTTACATCCAATTGTTTTGTGATGAGCATGAAATCCATAAATATGGATTTGAACAGGCA